GCTCCACATCATCATCTCTGGCTCCATTTCAGGCATCACTGCTTCTCTGGGTAGGGTCCCGCTCTCTTCTCTTCTCCCTTGATGGTCCTAGGGACCTCAGCTCCTAGAGTCTGTTTGGTTTTAATTGGAAGCTGTCTGTTTAAATTTCGAGGAGATCTGTGCGCATGCATAGTAGAACCCTCCTAGGATAGGGCTGGGGTGACCACTAGCTCAGGCATCCCTATAGTCACCTGAATGGAGGCGCGCAGATAGCAACGGACCAATGAACAGATACCCAAAGAAAAGAATGTCCACACCTTTATCTCAGCGGTTCTTCCAGGCGTCTGTGGCTGCTCCGATCCTTCCCCCGCGTGGTCTCATCCAAGATTGTGGATCCTGGAGCAGCCGAGCATCCCGGACTAGAAAGAAATAGATTTCTAGCTTCTGCCACAAATTCCCCCAGCTGTAAGCCTTCCAACCTAAATATTCCTTTATAAGTGGCTCAGAGTTCTGGGACCATCCTCTGAGCATGCTTGGTCGGGTATTCTGTGTTGTTGTTGGTGGAGCTCCTTTACTGCACTTCCACCTGATCTGCCATCTTGTTTGTTCCTCGCATGCCCACTTTTAGACCTTACCATGCTGTATTCAATTGTTTGTATAGTTCATTTGTTTTGAGGACTGAGGCCATATCTAGAACCTGGTTCTCAGCAGTCATCGTTATTTTTTAGTGTCCCCAAATGTTTCATTGGCATACCTTTTTGAGGTGAAGTATAAGTTTATTAATGCTTTGTGGGGTGTGTTTTAATGAAAAAGTCCCATTCGTCATAAGAATTATTTGTAGAAATCAAGAATGAAACAGGATTTTCTTTTTTAATTGCTTTGGTTTTTTTCTTTAGGTTATTCAGCTTCTAAAAGCTGGAAAAGCTAAGGAAGTCTCCTACAATGCACTAGCCTCACACATCATTTCAGAAGATGGAGATAATCCAGAGGTTGGAGAAGCTCGGGAAGTCTTTGATTTACCTGTTGTAAAGGTCAGGAGTAACTGATTCTAATTTATATTTTTTCACTATGGATCTAGAAAGCAAATGCACTGAAATTTTTATGTAACTTTTCATAGTCTATGCTAAAGTACGGCTTTTTGTGGAACGTTGACAGATCGATGTAGCCCTTTGGTGACACAGTGGGGTAAGCCTTGGGTTGCTAGGTGAAAGGTCAGTAGTTTGACCCACTGAAAAATTCTGCAGGAAAAGAAGGAGGCATTCTGCTTCCCTAAAGTTTTACAGCATCCGAAATCCATGACTGGATGGAAATGGATTTTAACATCTTGGTCACTTACTTAGCTGAGACCCTTTAAGCTAGACCACAATAGTGTAATGTTTCTGTATATTGTAGGTAATTTTAGATCATTCCATACACCTGCTACAGAGTGATCTCATTAAATTCTTTCATCTGAGGAAACTTGTGGATATGTTGCCTTGAGTCAGATGGACATTGGTACATGATTCCAAAAGTAGGCTAAATCTTGTCAAGAGGTAACTTGGAACATAGGTACTTTTCATTCTGATTGTGGCAAATCATCCTAATTTCCTGCTAGAATTGTTATTTTAAAGTGCTGTTGATTTGATTCCCAACTCATAGCAGCCCTGTATAGGGTTTCTGAGTAATGGCTTCTAAATCTGAACCACCAGCCTTGTGGTTCAAACTGACTATGTGGTCCAGCACATTATCCTATAGCACCACACCGGGACTCCCCCAGATAGAATAGTCAAAGGAAATTTTGTCTCTTATCTACTGAATTTTGTTCTCCCGTCTACTTAGGTAAGTACCAGAGTACTTAACTGTTCTCTGACAAAGTTCCCTCTGACCAGTTGTAACACTATGCACCTGGGGACCATCTACAACCATCTAGCTTGACCTATGGAGCACTGAGTGTAGGAAGTAGGGACTGAGCTAGTGGGACATGATTAAAGATTTTGTTGATCTGTTTACTGTTCTCTTTTATTGCCGATAATTGAGTTGACTGTTGTAAAATGAGTGTTTTTAAATTTGTTAAATTTGTACTTTTGATTCTTCAATTTTTAATATTTTGTATTATATATTTAAATATAGTTCTATACCACTGCCCTTTTTTTTCTCTCCCTTATGCTATTAATGTTTTGCATTAAGGGGAAAAATGTAGTGTCAAAGCTACTGTGATTAGTATTAAATAAGGAGTTAAGAAAATTTACCATTAAGTTAGTTTGGTGTAAGAGAAGTTATCTAACCCTTGGGAATTGATGGACCTCCCCAATATTCAGGGGTCATAAGCTAGGGGCCATAAGCTTTGGAGGCTTAGATCATTGATTTTTAAAAAAATAAACCTGAAAATGGACCTGTCTCCGTTTTTTGTTTTTTTTTTTAAGATGGTTCTAAAAGCTCTGAAGAGATGGTGTGCACTGGAACATTTGTTTCAGCATGACTAGTTTGTTTTCATACAGTATGCAGATTTGTGAGGACTGATTATTAGCAGGGTTCCTGGTCAGTTATCCTGATACCACTTTACTAGAGAAACAGTATTTACCATAAGATGTTTTAGGAGTCCTGGTGTGGCACTGTGGGTTAATGCACTGGACTACAAGGTCAGTTTGAACCCCCAGGTTGTCAGTTCAGGTTCACCAGCCATTCCTGGAAAACCCTGTACAGGGTCACTATGAGTCAGAACTGGATCTATGGGCACTTAACAACAACAAAACGTTTTTTGGAGTCCTGGTGTGGTGCTGCAGGATAATGCGCTGGACTGCAAGGTCAGTTTGAACCGCAGAGTTGGCGGTTCAGACCCACCAACCACTCAGAACCACTATACAGGGTCACTATGGGTTGGAATCGAATCAATGGCACTTAACAACAAGAGCAAAGATGTTCTTGTCTCTGGTTTGCTTCCATTCTTAGCTACAGGGACTGCATCTCAGCTCCTTACCCTTGCTACAAACTTTCTCAGGCAATATAAGTTGAAGTTATTGTCTCACCAGCTGCTCCTTGAAACTGTCTTGTATAGATTACACAAATGAACTTTAAAAAGAGCAGCCTTGCTGACAGGTTTGGGGATGTCTAGGTTATTGTTGGGAGCACAGTGACTCTAAGAGTAAGCACTGGACTGTGAACTGCCAGCCGCTGTGTGCAAGAAAAATAAGACTATCTACTCCTATAGCTTTATAGCCTGAAAGCCCTATACAGGGTCAATATGAGTTTGAAGCTACTTGAGGGTACTTAATAACAATAGGGTCTTTGCTACTGGCCACCTACATACATTGATGGTTCTTAAACTTGTGTGACCCCCAACCCCCCTTTTTGTAATAAGCACATTATTCTTATTGTACAGAAATCAAATGAAATTCATATGTAAGATAACTTGGAGTCCTGGTGTGGATTGCAAAGTTGGTTTGAACCACAAGGTTGGCAGTTCAAACCCACTAGCCGCTCCTCAGAAACCCTAAACAGAGTCACTATGATTCGAACCAACGTGACGGCCCTTAACAAAGTAACTTATCAGATAATTTCAACTACATATCTACAGTTATTGTTAAGCACTTATCCTACAGCGCCGCTTCAGGACACCATATACACAAATATGTATTGCTTAATGCCCACAATATGGTCTGTGAATGAAATAGGATGTTATGTGATTTGGGCTTTATACACATACTGCATTACAACCTTATAGGGGCTTCTTCCAGTTGCTGCCACTGCCTCTTCTGGAACTACTGGTGGAGAGTGGAAGAGCTGGTGATTGACTGGCAACAGCAGGAGCAGAGCATGAGGAAGCAGGTGGGGAGAGGGAGCTGAGAGCACCTTGCTCTTCCCACTGCTCTGCCTGCCTGAGCAGTTAAGAGCAACCTACCTGCCTGCTGGACAAAAAAGCCCAAGACCTGCATGCAGAACCATTTCCTCTGCCTCAGTTGCCATCTATGGTCTGGTGCTGCAAGAGGTCTTTAAAATCATTATTGTGGTGGTGGTTAAGTACCATTGAGTCGGTTCCAATCCAAAGCGACCCTGTATAAGGTTTCTGAGGAGCATCTGGTGAGCTTGAACCACTGACCTTGCAGTTCATACTGGCTTTGCAGTGCATTAACCCACAGTGCCACACCAGGGCTCCTTAAAACCATTAGTGGTAGATACTAAAGAAAAAACAAAGCTGCTTTTCCTTTTAAAAATATAAAAACAACCTTTATGGAACCATGGACATATTTGTGGTAAGGTGGATGTATGTGTGTTCAGATGTTGTCTGTACACACATTAAGTGATGCATGTACAAGGGGCTTCAAAAAGTTAGTAGAAAACTGGTGGTACAGTAGTAAAGTGCTTGGCTGCTAAGTAAAGGGTTAGTGGTTTGAACTTAAATTACTCCACGGGAGAAAGATGTAGCAGGATGCTTCTGTAAAGACTAGAGCCTATGGGGCAGTTCTTCTCCTTCATATAGAGTTAGAATCAGCTGGATAGCTTTGGTTTAGTTTGGTTTGGGATACACACACACGTTGGTATATAGACCTATTAATTACTTGCTATCTCCATATCTGACATTTCACATGACCAAGTGAAAATCTGCTATCCAACTTTTTTGCGCATTGAGGATATATGTCTGACAGTAATGAAGAGTGCTAAGTTGCAAGGCAAGAGTAGTTCTGACTGTGATGGTTTGGGTTATATTTCTACCTGGCTTGGTCATGATTCTCAGTGTCTATATAATCATATAATTTGATGATTATGCAATAATGTAGTCATTATTCATTTTGTGATCTGATGTGGTCAGCCTCCATTTTCACATAATGACTGGGTTTTTGGGAACTAACCATGTTGATACAACATGCACATACATATACAAAGTGGTTTCAGAAAGTCTGTGGAAAACTTGAGTCTACACATAACTCCTGTTTTTCACAAACTTTTTTGAAGCTCAAATCCTCTTGTATCCCTAAACTGAAATATAAAGGAGAGATGAAAATAAATACATGTTTCAATGTGTCAACACTTGGGCACTACTGCATTAGAGAATATAAAGAGGTAGTCAGGTGCTGCTATATATAGGATCACTGTGAATATGACTGCTGCAAGTGTTATCTGGTTCTCATAGCTCACAAGTAGAGTTGCCAGCTCTGAGGTGACATTTCAAAATGCTGAATGATACTTCTGAACTGAACAAAGTTGTTTCATTTTATACTATATAGGTGTACATTACTTAATGTCTGTTTGGGCAATGTCCGACCACATATATGTCTGTGGTTCCTTCAGAAATCTCAATTAGAGAATGGGACATAACTGAAATACTTTGTTAAGTATAGAGATCTAATCTGTCCCTCATTATCTTCATCTGCCACTGGCTCACCAGGTCCCTAGTTCATCCCAGTTCTGGGGTAGTAGAGAGAGGGAGTCTTGTTGCCCATCCATGACTGCGTGTCCCACTGTACTTGCCCCAGGCAGGGACTGCATAGATGTCAAAAAGGAGCTGCCTCGCTAGGCCTGGATTCCCTGTGTGTGATACCTGGTTTGAAGTTGGCTCATCGCATGGTATTCCTGGCTACTATAACGGTAGTGGCAGGAGAAGGAGCAGGAAAGGCAGCTGGGGAAAGAGGAGGAGGACATAGAGTTGGGCACATGGGACTGGACTAGTGTAAAGCCCACTAGGGGGAACAGAGAAAGCAGGCAGAGGAAGGAAGAGGAAAGGAAGGGAGCCTAAGGTTGGTCGACCCATTGGAGGTTGTGCATAGCTCTTGGAGATTGGACAGTGTACTTGTAGGACCAGAAGGCAGCAGTGGAGCCAGTTTTCGTACAGTCTGTTGGAAAACTGTTTACCACTCTATATAATAACGGGGTTTGCACAACTCCAAATCACATAATGTTTTATGTGATTAATGGATGGTGGATGGTAAATTGCGTACCTGCAGTTGTATTTCTCAAAAAGGCAATGCATAATAAAACTCTAAAAATACCCACTGTCCAGCTTCTACAATTATCAATCAACATTTTGCCTTTCTAACTTAATATTCTACTTACCCATCTTACCCCTTTGGTTGTAGTATTTTTAAACAAATCCTTGACATGTTATCTGTTCTACGTATTTCAGCATTTCAGACTCTCTTTAATTTGCAGTAGCACATGTATTGTCCAATGACTATGGTGTTGCATTGTAGGGTTTTTCTTTTTTTTCGTGCTACAACAGGTAATTTTATTTCTCAAGGGCTCATATTGCAAACATTAAGCCAAGCATGTGCTGTAATCATGTGGGCCCAAATTCACATATTTAGGAAAGGAAAAGCAGACTGTTATCCATATACTTGGATAATCACTAAAGGCTCATGTTAATCACATTGTGGTTTTAAATTTCTACAGCATAGAACTCAAACGTCACAGGTCTTTTAGATCCTTCTGGATGTCCCACAGAGTATCTGCGCTCTTCTTGAGTTGAGCAACCTCATTATCCTTCAGCTTCTG